AAACAGGCAATTAATTAAGACAAGGCATTGTAGGAAAGTAAAAGAAGGAAGCTCCTATAGCATGCCAAACTGGCTTATAATGAGGTGCTGAAGTCACATTTGCCACTTTCTGATAGTTGTCTATGAGCCTCACTTCCCACCAATGGCTATAAAAAAAGCTAAGCTCTCTGGTTTTTCACAATTAACCATTTAGGACTCACACAAACTCATCCAGTAGAGACTTTACACAGTAATTACATGCTTGCAATTACAGTGTTCTCTTATAATTCGAAGCCAAGTAAATTAAGAGGGAATTTGTATTGCTAAAAGAAAAAAAAGATAAGGGGTAATTAGATTAAAAAATAAAATTTGGCTTTAAAGGCAGTATGTTCTTTCAATACTAAATTTCTTTAAAGCACTTAATTATTTCATTAATTATCAGAAAATTTTCATCTTTACCTTGGAAAGCTCAAAATTTACTACATAAGACTACTTTCTGGCTAAACACAAATTATAAATTACTATAAAACATAGCTGAAATTAGTACATATGGACAAATTAAATTAAAAATCATTTGTAAAAATAATAATATTTTTCAAACAACCTTTCCCTCAGGATATGAGTCTTGCAGAAACTGTCTGTAAAAGAGAAAGTAAAAGTGTCTGAAATGCATTTTCATTTTGTCGATATAAAGACCAGGACTAGTTCAGAAAGGAAATGTCTGGAATCCTGCTTCATGTCACAGTGCACAGAGGTTAAGATAATAAACTGCCTCAGGCCTCTTTTAGGGCAGCAAAACAAACCAAAATTGTCTCTGGGGTTGTAAATCGAGGAATGATGTGGTAAAACTGAGCATGCAGAAAGAGAACTGGGGTAAATATTTTTTTAATGTTTGCCGTTGGGCAGGTTTTTTTTTTTTTTCTATTAGTTTACTGTTCCTAGCAAATATGAAATGCTTTATCTCAGCTGTTTGGACTATTATTATTTGGGTTTAGTTTCCTACTGTGAGGGGAAAAAGAAGACCTGGCAGCTATTTTTTAAAATGAGAAAATGATCATCTAGTGATAGATACAAAGAGGAGCGTGAGCACTGGAAGGCAGAGAGAAGGAAGCCAGTGCAAGGATGGGACACCTACGCACCTCCTGCTCTTACCTTCTGGAGAGGGCAGTATGCTAATTTCATGCATGGCAATAGATTTAGCCTCTTGTTCCAATTCATGCATAGAAGTAAGTTTAAGCTCCTCAAGGGCATCAGGTTATGGTATTCACTCTCAAAGCTCGATTGAGGTTGAGAAGGAGTTGATGGGATGCTGCTACAAGGAGCTATGACTGAGGATCATCTTGGTGCTACAAAAGGGAAGTGGAGGGAGAATAAATCTAAAACCTAGAGCAGACTGGGGGATTGTTGTCATTATGACTCATTAATGCTACCCCTTAACTAGCTGATGTGTAGCAGACTAATAACAATTTAATAATGGGACCCTGGTTAAGAACTAACTGATAAACAGGGTCATGACTTTCAATCACAATTGGTTAGAGATATTAAACAGTGAATTTTAGTAGTAGGAGCTCAGCCCCACCCCCCATTCCATTTGTTATGTTCTCATGGGAGAGTATCCCTGTAAGTTCACATAGTCTCAAGCTAGAGTTTACTCCTTTCAAGCAGATATCACCAAATTCATAATTAGTTATAATAGAATATATTCTGAAGGAAAAAGTGATTGTTAGCTTTAAAACCACTGAGTATCTGATAAAAGGAAAATATCTAAGAAAGGCATCCATGACAGGCAGGTGAGGATGTGTTCTGAGTTGACTTGACAAGTTTGGGTAAATCATCCTTTGAAGCCCAGCTGTAGGGCTTGAGTCCTCTGTTCCTTAGGAAATGAGTAAGTTAAAGAATGACCTTTCCGGAAAAGGAAGTTTAATGTATTGATGTATAAGTAACTTCATTCTCCTGCCTTCCCTGTCCTAATTTACAGTCTTCTCTGACTGGTTTATAGGAGTCTTCAAAAAATTTGATTAGCTTTACTTGAGAGAAACTTGCAGGAGTTTCAGGATAATGATGTGTCAGCTCTAAACTCATTCAGCTAATCTGAGGGGAAAGTTTTCAGAGTAGGAAAGAACCAGACTCAGAGGTGCTGACTTGTGAAACATGCTGCAAAGTACATTTCTACCTAAAAGCTCTCAAATTCTAGTTTTTTGATCATGCAAAAGGAAAGAATATCACGATGGGCAGAAGAAAAAAGATTAAACATCAGCATCAAAACAACAGCAGCTATAAAAACATGTGCTCACTTGAATTCTTCAAGACCAAAGTTCTTCTCTCTCATCAGAATTAGGAAAACAGCCCATATGATTTCAAACAGAAGAAGACAATGGCTGCATCCTTAGATGGGGCTGAAGAGTGGTAGGCAGAGATGGCCATGTTTGATTAGGAGCCACATGAGCTCAGCATACTGTAGGAAAGAGCAGCCAGGACTGGACCTGAAGCCTATTGCTGATTAGTGAGTCATGCCTAAGAATACTGGTTGAATGAAAATCATCTCGGTTCATTAACTCATTCAGTTGCTATTTTTTTGCCTGTACCTGCACCATCTGTCTTGTTATATGCAAGACACTCAGGAGAGCACAGTGATAGAGAAGCTTCTTGGTGTTCTCATTACTTGAGTTGTAGATCAAACCACCACAAATCCTAGAGATGTGTTGAGAATTAATTTGGAGCATTAAGAAGCCCAGGCTTTTGCTTTATGGCATCTGTGATCCCCAACCAGAAGATTCAGAGGCTTGAGGTCAGATTTATCTGATGTTTGTTTGTTCATTTTATTAATGGTTGATAGTGGATGTTAGGGAAGACCTTTGTGAGGGAATGATGGAAACTCCTACATATGATCTCATACCATGATCTAGACTACAGCATGGTGGTTGAGTTCCAAGGGTGAACACTGAAGTGTGAGCCAGGTAGAAGCTGTGTCTTTTATGGCCTAGCCTCAGAAATAATGTAGCATAAATTCCACTGTACTCCATTGGTCAGGATGGTCACATGCCGTGCTGAAATTCAGTGGCTGAAAACATTGGTTCTTAATAGCAGAAGTAATACCAGTCACATTGCATAAAGTATATGCACATATATGCTATCATTTTGCAAAAATATATTCTAATTAACTTGATAAGCACAAAAATTATTACATGTTGGCTTAGTTACTTTTCTATTGTCGTGATAAAAACACAATTACCATTGTTAATTTATAAAAGAAAACGTCTAATTTGGCTTATGGTTTCAGAGAGTGAGAGCCCATGATCATGGAGGGAAGGAATAACTGGGAGTTCACATCTGGATCCAGAACCTCAGTGCATACAGAGACAGATAAAGCACTAGAAATGGCCCAAGCCCACGCCCAGTGGCACACCTCCTCCAACGAGGTCATACCTCCTATCCCAGATAACTGTACCAACTATTCAAATATAGGAGCTATGGGAGCCTTTGACATTCAAACCACAACACATAACAAAGTAAAAAGTGAAAGTATTACTTGTGATTATTTTGTATGTGACAGTTCAAGGAATCATTCAATTAGAAGCATATTAATAAGAAGTGCTACCCAAGTATTTGCATATTCCTTCCCCCTCTCCCCATTTTTGATAAACATCTCATGATCTATCTATACCACTCTCTCTTAATACTTTTTTCTTAAAATTGGAACATTGGAGTGGAGTAATTAAAAATTGCTTAAAAACAAACTAGATATTATAAACTAGAAAATATATTCTGTATCATAATTTCTTTGACATAAATAATGGTCAAGAGTAAGCAAGCAAAGAATAATTGCAGGCCAGACCTACTTCTTTATGTTAAATGTTCTAAAACTGAAGCAAGTCTTTCTCTGTAAAATAAAAATGAAATGTTCATAAGCATTTGGAAGATATAATTCACACTCCTGCCAATTTAAGGCTGTCTGCTTGCCTTAATCTAACAGGTTGAAAGAGGAGTAAAATAAAAGAGTACCTAGATCTCTTTACCAATGAAGATATTTTAAAGAATTCTCAATATTTCAGCCCTACCGTTTGGGTTCAGAATGATAAAAATAAAATCATTGACATAGGAACTTTCAGGTAGCCTAACCTAAATTCCTAGGATCCATAAGGGAGAAGACAGAGCCAAGGCTTATTAATAAATGTATTTGCAATCTGCCATTTATCAAAGGCTTGGCCTTTACATCCTGTTTTTTTATTTTTATTTTTCATTACTTATGACCAGTTCCCTGGGAGATCCAGTGATCAGTAAAAGGCCCTGACTAGCTGGCTTCTATATAAAGCCTAAGGACTCCCATTATCTTATTACCATTCCCCACATGCTGGAAGAATTGACTCCTTGCTTTCCCACTGTGGCATGACTAATGTTCCCAGGCTTCATGGGACACCCTGAGTCCAGAGCCCCCAGGCAGACTAGCACTTTTTAGTATGCTGGCATCTAAGTCTTCTAGCAGTCAGTCCTGAAATAATTATTCTCACCTGCTGGGGCAAGTGCTCTAGTAGGCACCTGGGATATCAGGGAGGAGAGAGAGACACCTCCAGCAAACAGAAAGGCACTTGACAATGGCTATTTCACCCCTAAAACTTAAGTACCTGTGTGGAAACCCTATTACCATGTTGCTAGAATATTTAGAAAATGCTACTTTCTGGGGGATTATCCCAGAAGAGATAATAACTCAAGAATGAGTAAAACTTTTACTGCCTTTCTTCTTGCACCTTTTCGTGTGTGTGTGTGTGTGTGTGTGTGTGTGTGTGTGTGTGTGTGTGTGTGTGTCTGTGTGCATGTCTGTATGTATGTGTATGTGTGTGTTTGTGTGTCTGTGTGTTTTCAATAATGAAGGTTGCAGAGGTTAGGAGAAAACAAGAGTTATATATTTCTCTTTGGGAAATTCAGGCTATAGCCTTCACCAAGCACACTAGGATGTTGAACATTCGTGCCTTTCCAGGCATGGGGCCACATTAACAGACACTCCTTCTCTTCTCTCTCCACAGTCAGCCACGGTGAAGCTGTCAAAACCAGTGGCCCTGTGGACCCAGCAGGATGTCTGCAAGTGGTTGAAGAAGCACTGTCCAAATCAGTATCAGATCTACAGTGAGTCATTCAAACAACATGACATAACTGGTAAAGTCTGCAGTATCCAAGACTCTCCTCTTTCCCCTCGCCCTCCCTCATCATCATGGCCTTTTCCTGTGCCCATACAGCAAAACAGTATCTTCCTGCTGGAGTTCCCTGCTAGAAGTTGGCTCTAGAGCAGGCGATAAAGTCCTGACCACATGAGCCATGATACTGAATGAATCGGTGCTTAATAGAGGAAAATGGATTTTGAAGATCTAATACAAGTGTTTGGGGGGGGGGGCATGGATCCTAGAGTAAACAAGTCCTAACGAAAAGAAGAGAAGTCTTGCTAATCAACTTGGTTTTAGGATGAGTGTGGGGATTTGTGAAGGTGAAGCCTTTCTACATGGGAGAATCTTTCCTTTTTCCCCCTCATTAAGTCAAGTGTATTGACTTTTCTGACTGATTAGCTACATATGTGCAACTAATGATGTAGAAGAATCAATAGTAGAAAGTCATTTTCCCTGCCAAACCAGTCCTGTCCTGTCAGTCATAAAGGTGCACTCTGCTTTGTCCCCATCCAGAGGCTAAGTTTCTCAAGCCAAGTTGTACTCCTTACTGTCACTGAGATGAGCACATTAAGGTCACATAGTGAAACTACTTTTCCAACAAGGGTCTTAAAGTTTTCCATTGAGGGGATAAAGAAGTGTTTGGGGCCCCCCTGGCAGTAGGATCAGGATCCATCCCCAGTGCATGAGCTGGCTTTTTGGAGCCCACCACCTGTGGTCGGACACCTGACACAGCCTTGATGCGGGGGGAGGGGCTTAGGCATGCCTCTACTGAATGTACCAAGCTCTGTGGATTCCCCATGGGAGACCTTGCCTTGTTGGAAGAGGGAATGGGGGGGTGGGTTGCAGGGGAAAGGGAGGCAGGAGGGGTGGAAGGAGAGAAGACAGGAGGAATCTGTGATTGGTATGTAAAATGAATTTTTACATAATTTTTAATTAAAAAAGAAGTATTTGAAATCAGAGAAGCAGGATGGTTAGATGTGCTGCAAAGGCCTTTTCTATCACTGCTCTCAGCAGGGGATGGACATGAGTGAGAAGTGCTGTCCCCACCTTTGTGCCCACCACTAGAGCAAGGAGGAACACATCTGGACTTGATCTGTGCCAAGATTCTACATGCATATTTAAAGCTCTCCTCCCCACTCCCCTGCACAGCTATGCACTGAAAGACAGGGTTGAGGAGCACTGCTCTATGGGAAGGAATGCTTGAGAATCATGAGTCTGGTCTTGAACCTTCCTGTCTCCTAATAGAAAACTGAGCCCCTAGTGGGAAAAAAAATCACTTGCCTTGGGATTGCCAAGAACTCTAGACACCAAACCTTTTCCTAAGTCTGTGTTCTACTTTGAGAAATACTAATTTTTCTCGTTCTGATTACTTCCATTACTTTGGAAGGGGATGCATTAAGGAGAATGTACTTCCCTCCAAGTTCAGTTTTCCCATCCAACTCTGCTGTCAGGAGCAGATCTTCCACCTCCCTAAGTAAAATTTGACTGGGGGTTCTCAGAGTGCATCCAATGGCATCCCTGAACCCTAGAGAAACAAGGAGGGGGTGTGTCAGATTGAGAGAAGGGTGTCAACCAAGAGCTGTTCCCTTCAAGGCTGTCTTACACACTTTATTCAGTAAGGAAGATTATCTTGGAAACAGGGTTCTAGCTACTCAAGTTTTCTTTAGATGTACAGCTGGATAATTTTAGAGTCTTGCTGTGTAATTAATGGGTAATTGTACAATAAACATGCCCAGGTATATCTCAATCTGTTTTAACAAAAGAGTAAATTTCTGACTTAAAAATGGTCATTTTCTGTTATCCCACCCACCCACCCAAGCTACTGATGATGCCCTTTAAAATGAAATCCCTAGGACCTTAAAGGTAGTGAGGGTGCATAGCCTTAAAGTGTCTGGATTTCACATTCTAGTCCCTTGTCTTAAAGTATATGTACAAGGAAAGCTCACAGAGGATCTGTTGATCGACTCCAAGAGTGATTAGTCCATCAGAACCATTTGCCTGATAGCAGTTATCTCCATCAGATAATGGCTGCTTATGGTCTTTTAATTCCTGCATGATGGTAGTGGCAAAGCCTTTTCACAATCTTGCTCGGGAGCAGTGGTATCACTTATTAGTGGTGGAAATTATGGCATACCCTCAAGAGACAGGTGAGTCTTAGAAAGGCTTATCTAAGGAGGATGGACGGTATCCTCAGAGTGAGCGACTTCAGAGTGGAGGGAATAACCGAGTGCTTGGCTAAGTGACCAGAAGTAAAGGCATGAGAGTGCAGTGTGGTAGAGCTGTCACACCACTCTCGACAGTGTCTTTAGCCTCCACAACACACCTCTGTTGTCAGTGAACCACCACACAGGTCTGAGCTCAAGATAACACTGCTTCCTCTGGCCAATCATTCAACCTCACTTCGTTGTCTCCAAAATAAAGATAGTTCTTAAAATATCACAGAGCTGTGAAAATTAAGTTAAAAATTATAGGTAAGCCAGTAGGCTAACCCTTCTACCTGCAAGACTATGTTCTTATTTCTGTCAAGTTTTATCTGGAATTGTAAAAGAAAAAAGAAAAAAAAGAAGAAAAAGAAGAAGAAGAAGAAGAAGAAGAAGAAGAAGAAGAAGAAGAAGAAGAAGAAGAAGAAGAAGAAGAAACCCCTGACTTTATTCTAAGATCAACCTATTTCTGGCAGGGAAGGAAAGTAGGGAATTATTTGGGGACTTGGGGAGCAGAGAGAATGATTTCAGAGTAACATTTGGTCCATATCTTTTTGACATTTACCTGTCAAAAGCCACAGAACAACCACTCCCTTCCCTTGTTCTCTGACCTCAGCTCCTCTCCAGATGAATGTGTAGCACCTAAATCATCCCAAGTCCCATGTGACCAGCCACTAGCTTCTAGAATTTGTACCAGTCTGCAGTAGCTGGCCACCTGACATTAGAAGCTCCATAGTACCCAGTATCCTTAAAGTCTGTGATGATAACCAGGAAAAATATGTCCATTAAAATTAAAATGGGGCTAGGAGCATTGTTAAATGGGTAGAGTGCCTAGATAGTCTTATACAAAGCCCTGGGTTTGGTCCCCAGCACCACATAAACCAACTATGGTGGTACACACTTATAATCTCACCATATGGGAGGTAGAAACAGGAAAATCAGATGTTCAATGTTATTCTCAACTATCTAGTGAGTTACAGGCTAGCCTGGGATACGTGAGACCCTGCCTCAAAGCAAAACAACAAAAACCAATTTAAATGTAATGTCATGGCAAACCTCAATAGCCTGTGTGCAACCAGTAGCGTGACTTGGGGAAAAGACAAGAGCTGCTGCAAGGAACAGGTCACAGCCCAGAGATGCAGCATTACTGTGTGCTCAGAAAACTCCAGTTTGCTTCCCTTTTGTGAGAGAGAGAGAGAGAGAGAGAGAGAGAGAGAGAGAGAGAGAGAGAGAGAGATCCAGTACCACCCTTGTGGTGCTGCTGAGAAAAGTGACCCCATCACAGGAAGCATACAACAAATGTGGACTGCTACAGCTTTCCTCTACGCTGTCCTGATTTCCAAGAAACGAGACCACACATATAAGCCCTGTTGAATTCGTCTAGTTCTATTTTCCTGAACACTGGGAAAGTAGTGCCCGAAGGGGAAACAAAATAGTTTGGGCTGGTACATACCCTGTGCGAATCTGAAAGGCTAGGAACAAGATTATTTACCTGTCTGCTGACGGATGCTGTTAATTTATTTTTTTCCTTAAAACAAGGATAAACAGGTTCTTGCTCACTGAGGGACCATGTTCTGTCAGTGTAACATATAACATAAACACCCCTTGACTTCGAGGCAGCCAGTCCAGTGAGTGCAATTAAAATGAACATATATTAAATGCACAGAGAGGGAGAAGCAGTCGGTGGGTTTCCTGAGTCAAATCATTCTCGATGTTCTTCACCCCAACCTTTAAGACACAGTAAGGAGCTACTTGATGTCACACGAGCTAGTCCCCATCAGCATGAGAGTGATGTTTAACTTAAAGGGTCATTGGGAAGATTAAATGGGATGATATGTGTGAAGGGCCAAGCTTAATGCTGACAAATAGTGGGCATTCATCCATTTAGCAGTGTTTATGGAGCACTTACCACTCAGTGGGTTTGAGAAACAAGTAAATAAGGCAATGGAGGATCCATGTAGGAGGAAAGTGTGTACGTGTCCTTAAAATACTGCCACACCATTTTGTGTTACCTAATTCTGAATGGAAGGAGCTATTTTGCAAGTCTGGGTTATAGATAACTAATAGTATACTAACCCCCCACTTTGATACGCTCTTCTGCTTTAAATACTAATTTTAATTACTAATAGGATATTAATTACTAATGATCAATAGTAGTCTGAAAGTATTTAGTAGAAACGTCTTTGTTTTGAAGATACAGCATTCACCTAACTTTTATTGTCCTGTAATGTTTCATTCGTTACTCTTCTGTGCCTGGTTTATAAACTCAGCTTTCTCATAGATCTACACATAGGAAAATAGATGATATTTTTAGGGTTCAGTAGGGAAGATCTTGAAATATATCCCTGGAGAAAGAGCAGGGACTGTGGTAGAACCAATTTTTAACTATTTACATGTAAATTATGTCCCACAGAGGTTTGCTTGACTCTCTAGCCTCTATGGAAAAGTGATCTTGGCCTTGCATTTGCCCCCTGATTTCAGCCATCCCAACCTGCAATTGTATCTGCTGTTGGGTTCTTTTTTGAACTAATTATTGCACCTTATCAGTTTCCTCAATAATGAATCAAATAAAAATGTTAAACACATATTAATTTTTGTATGTGGGAATGATTTAAACTTTTTTTGTTTTAGACAAGGTCTCATCAAGTGGCCCTAGCTTGTCTGGAACTTGCTAAATACGTACCTGGCCTTAAACTTACAGCATCTCTTCTCCCTCAGTCTCTGAGTGCTGGAATTACAGGAGTGTGCCGTCCTGCCCACCTTGATTTTAACCTTCTGTTTGAAATCGACACAT